TGGGTGAGGTGTGGGGTCCACAGTCAGGCAACCGGCCCTATAACCACCCTGGCCTACACCCCAGTTCTTATATGCATAAGTAAATAAAATAAATCTTTAATAAATAAATACTTGAAGAAGTACTTTCTGTGTGGTTTGGAGAAAGGGGAGCATTGTCAATACGGGTAGTTTTCAACAAGTATACAATCTTTCTAACATATTACTAAGGCTAAAGACACTTCAGTACATTAACAATAATGCAGAAGATACTTCCATGCAGTACTATATGAAAACATTTAAAAAGTAATAACTTCAAGAGAATGTATTGCATGGTGAAGTACTGGGGATGGTGGCAGTTGAATAATTTTATTCTTTCTCATTAGTCACCTTGAAGTATCAAAAATCACAAAGGCCTAATAATAAATTTTTTGGAGTTTGTAAGGTGACTATCACTTCAACAGGAAGAGTAGAATTTTCTAGCACAAGAAAGAACACCCATCTTTGGGACATGAAACAACCACACACAATAGGCAAATTCATATATAACTTGTTCCCTATCATCCCAAACCATGTCTGTTGACTTAAAATCTCATGCCCTCATAAATGGTCAATATCTCCTGATCCAGGCAAGTGTTTCTGAATACTGGTCTTCGTTTGATAGCAGCTGTGACATTTATGAAAAGAAAGCAGTAGGTGCTTCAATAGTCAAAACAGTTGACCAGGGCTTAACCATTCTCTAGACTTGGAGGATAAACCATTCTTGAGGGTGAAGTTGTGATTTAATTCATGTATCTCTTAAGTATGGAATTCTAAGTGAGCATTTGTGAAGCAAAGGAAACCTTTACTAATGAACCTTCAGGGACCAGTTAGCACAGTTTGTTAAATTGGAATGCTAATTAGGTGTAGGCAGTAGTCTAAATCAACCTAAATGCTCGTTAGTTTGACCAATTATAGGTGCCCAATAAATGTTTGCTTAAGTTCAATAATTCTATGTCCAGAGGGAATATTCCTAACATGAGTGGCTGAATTAAAAAATATAGGCTATTAGTCATGAATAAATTGTGCATGAATGAGAGTGTTTCCACACAACTCCTAGAAGGCCAAGGTCATAGTAGTGATGGTTTGTATATGCCCCTTTCTTTGCTAGCTGCTATGCAGAAATCAATCTAAACACATCCCTGTTAGTTTGAAGTTTTTCCATGGACTGAATAATAGAATGCAAAATACAAGTCTAGAGTGAAACACGTGGGTTATAAGCAAAGGATCACCAAACTATTTAAAAACATAATGAAAGGGCCCTACCTGGTGGTGCAATGGGTTAAAGCATGGCACTATGAAGCAATTCACAGACACTTCAGCATGAGTTCGATCCCCAGCCAGGGAGCTGACCCACATGGTGCAGCAGACCTCTCCTGACTTGCTGCTTCCCTCAACAGTGTATTTCTGTGGATCTGCCTGTTCTGCTCCCCACTCTGTCCCTGGTGAATCCTCTCACTGTCCCTGCACCTATCGCCTGCCCCCAGCTCTGTATGCATAAAAAAGTAAATCTTAAAAAAAAAGACAGCGAGTCTGGTACCCATTGTGCTGACTTGAGGAGAGACTTCCTTCCATTATATCCTATATATGTGTAGTATACACTGCTACTTTTCCTATCCCCGAAGTCCATTGCTTTCCCACTCAGTATATTCTCAAAAAAATTTTTTTTGGTTCTCCTAAAAGCTGTTACCTATAGCCTTTGATTCAATCACCAGGATGTTCTGCCTTTACAAAAACCATCCCCAAACTGTTCTCCTCTCCCAGGTGCTAAAAGGGCAAAGGTAGCATTATTTCCATGACAATGGAAACAAAAGTCAGCTCCAGTCCTGCTTCTGCACAGGAGCCTGAGGCACTGCTGGAGGTCTGGGCCAGTCAGGGAAACTTTAGTTGGTCTTTTGAGCAACTGAAAGCAGAGGCCTAATTTTAGTGTTAGAACTACAAAAAGTACCACATGGAGTTTAGGGCAAATTCCAAATTTGCCTCTTCAGCAGTTAGTATTAGGTTTTGCTGCAGTGAACAGAAAATCCCCCAAGTAGTTTTTGTTTGTTTGTTTGTTTGTTTTTTGAGCTGTTGCCATGTCTGTATCTCAGCTAGGGAAAAGTTGGAGGACTCCTCCCTCCTGCCCAACTTTAGTAAGGTGTAAATGCCCTACAAAAAACTGTATATACTTAATAGATACAATTTATTAAGTTGGGACATAGGTATATTGTAGGCTACAATCAGAGTAATAAACAGTCCTTCACTCTCAAAAGTTTCCTTGTATCACTTTGTTTTTGTGTGTGCAGCATGTGTTAGTTATGCACACTGAACATGAGGTCAGTTCTTATAATAAAATTTTAAATATACAATACCTTATTTATAATTATAGGTTCTATTTGTCCCACAGATCTCTAAAACTTTCTCATTTTGTGAAATGTAATTTTTGCTCATTGAAAACAGAACCTTTACAACTCTCACCTCTAGGGGCCAGCATACAGTGTTATCTACTTCCATATATTTTACTGTTTTAGAAGCCTTCTATAAGAGAAATTATTTTGTAACAGCGTGGTCCCCAGGAAAAAGGGGAGATTCTAGGTTCCCTGGCCCAACCAAGGAAGAATGGAGATGAGGAGGGGGGAGGGGAAGGAAGCTGGAGAGGAGACTGGTGAAGGAAGGAAGGAAGAAAGAAGGAAGGAGAGCAAGAAGGAGACCTAGAGGAGGTACATGGAGCAATAAGACTAAGACACTTGCTACTT